GGTCGGGGGTGGGCCTAGGCAGTTGGTGCAGGGAGAACCTCGCCCGCGGGGGCTGGACTGTGTGACCAATTCACCGTTGACCTTGGGCAAGCCCCTCACCTGCAAAGTTCTGTGCCTGCCCCCCGCCCCCAGCTCGCTTGTGTGATAGCAGCAGGCACATGTGACGTTCCATACCTGGTGGAATTCTAGAACCTGTAACGTTGCAATTGCAAGGAACTGTAGGGCGCTCGTCACATGCCGACTTCCCAGCAACCACCCAAGGCATATTGGCCTCAGTCTGTAAGTGGGAAAGAGACTCAGAGGGATACAGGGCCTGACACCACATACGTAATCAAACCTCGGGGCTGGACTCAAATCCATGCACTTAGCAGATGCAGAGTTCTACTGTAAAGTGCTGGCTACTCTGTCTGATGTATCCTTTGTCCCCAGAAAGCCATCTCTGTCCTGGAGATGGAGAACGGCTACTGGTGGTGCAGGAGGAAGAAGCAGCGGGCAGGGGTGAGACTGACAGTTGGCACCAGGCCGGACGGTCTCCCCGACGAGCGCTGGTGCTTCAGGTGAGTGGAGAGGCTGGGGGGTGGCCTGGGGACCTTGCTGAAAACCAGGCGACAGCGGCTAGGAGTCAGGTCTGGTGGGAAAGGCAGGGCCTCGGAGCGCCAGGGGACTCTGCCCTGGACAGGCGAGGTCAGCGATGCTGGATCTCATAGGCCCGGCCTCCACTGCCTGCTCTTCCTGTCTGGTCACCTTCCTGTCCCACTGACTGAAACTGGAGGTCCCTCCCCAGTGATCCCTGACCGACTCCTTCTGGCCTGAAATGGGGCACAGTGAGGAGGCCAAGAAGCCAGAGGCATCCTCGGGTTAGAGCATGCTAAGCTTGCCCTGGCTGGTCTGCTCTGTCCTCCCAACGCCCCCGTCCTGACCACGGAGGCTACAAACCCCTCCACGCAGAGCAGACGCTCCCATGGGGGCGGGAACCTGGTGACAAGTGCTCGGCCAGCAACACACTTTCCTGAGGTAGCAGCCAAGCAAGGGCGGCGGGTCTTAGCCACGTAGAGTAGCCGCGAAAGGGCCCCGGAACCTGGGAACACACAGATCCAGCTGATCTAAACTCCTCTCTGGATGCTGGGGGCAACCCAGGTCGCCGTGAACAGCCAGAGGGGACAGACGCCTGTTCCCCGCGGTGGGCGCCTGGCCGGGGCGGCAGTCTGAGAGCCGAGAGGACGGGGCTCGCGGGGGGCTGCTGGGTGGCCCAGTGTCCTGCGGAGAGAAGCCCCGTCCTCCTCACAGCCCTGGGGGCCCCTCTCCTGGGGCAGAGCACGCTGCGGCCTCGGCCTCCTGGAGCCTCACAGCTGCCCTGTGGCCCGCAGGGTAGAGGAGGTGAACTGGGCTGCGTGGGAGCAGACGCTGCCCACGGTGCGTGAGGAGCCCTCGGGGCCAGGCGGCCCTGGTGAGTAGCTGTGGAGTGTGTGTGTGTGTGTGCGTGTAAAGGGTTTGCCCCTTAAAGCGGCGCTCCCCCCCCCCCCCCCCCGTCGCCTGGGAAACCGGCTCTTGGGCACCCTCCCCTCCCTCCTCCGCCAGCAGGGGGACAAGTTAGGGAGGCCCCCCAGCCCCGTGGCTCCGCCCCGACAGGCCAGCCTCGCTGCCGCCACACCGCTGAGAGGCCACTTCATCCGCCTTTGTCCCCATCAGGCCCGCGTCCCCTCCATTCTAGGGTGGCGCTGGCCCCCTCCACCCCGACTCCTTCGTCCCCCTCCACGGCCGGCAGGCACCCACCTCAAGGCTTCGTCCCCCCTCCTCTCCTTTCTCGTGCTCTTTCCCACCCCTCCACTTGCCGTGGCCACCCGAGACCCTGTACGTGCGTGGAGTCTCCTCCGGCCGCCCGGGCTCCTGGGTCCCTGACCGCGGCCCTCGCGAAGCGACAGCTTTCCTGCGCACCTGTCTCTGTGTCGCCCTTCCTCCGAGTCCTGCCGTCCCATCCCTGCAAGACTCGGAAAGCCCCCTTGTCCCTCATCTTGCCCCGCGCCGCGCCGACTCCCTGTCCCACCCGCCCGCGCCGCCTCCAGCTGGACGCCCCCAACAGGAACAGCCTTGTAGTCGGCCCCACCCTCCTGGCCAGGCGGGGGGCCTTGCGGGTCTCTCCCCCTCCCCCTGGTGCTGAGTGTCCTGGGGCCTCCGGTGGCTGCGGTCCCGCCGCCGGCCCCTCTGCCCTGAGCCTCACCTCTCCCACGTCTGCACCACGCGGGGGCTGCTCAGCTGGCACCCGGACCCCAGACAAGGCTTTAAGTCCAGGCTCGTCCTACTCCAATCCCTCGTACGTAGACGAAAACTACACACAGCCGCACCACACACCGCCTCCCACTCCCTGGCAGGCCGCACCCCTCCCCCCGGGGTCAAGGCCCAGAGCCGTTGTCCAGCCCCCTCCCCGCACCTCCCTCCATGTGCCGGCCGGTCCCTCCACAGTGCTCACGTCCCTTCTTTTCCCGGGCTCGTGTCTCTGTAGGTGCCCTTCCATCCTTCCGGGCGTCCCTTCTCCACCTTCCCCACCGGTGGCGGGGGGCCGTGGGGGGTCTCCTCTCTCGTCTGAGCACCTGACGCTCCCCTCCCTCTGGCTCCTCAGCACATCATCGGCTGTTCTGGTTTCTAACACAAAGGCCTGTCACCTGCAGGGGCTTTCAGCTCCTGGGAGGAGGTCCCTGACTGGCACCTGGCAGGGGTTCAAGAGATGCTTGCAGAAGCAGGGAGGCAGGAGAGGGACTGCTGGGGACCCCGAGGCTGCTGTCCCCTGGCATGATGTGGTTTCATGGCCGTGGCTCCCTCCTGTTTCCCTGGTGCCTGCGTCCTGGGGACACTCCCTTCATCCCATTCACAGGCGCCCTGAAGAACCCAGCCCTGGCCTCCCAATCCAGCCAGGACAGTGCCGTGGAGGAAGACCATGTGCCCCTCCAGCTCCTTGAGTCCCACTGATGCAGCAGGGGGCCGGGAGGACAGAGCACGGAATGTTTCCAGCCCCACCTACTGGCTCTGGGACCTCAAGAGACTTTGGTGGCAAAAATAAATAAGTAATTTCTTGTGGCTAACTCTCCTGGAAACATTATTTGAGTAAAGGTACTGGGCCCCAGGACTTCTCTGGTGGCGCAGTGGTTAAGAATCCGCCTGCCAATGCAGGGGACACGGGTTCGAGCCCTGGTCCGGGAAGACGCCACATGCCGCGGAGCAACTAAGACCGAGCACCACAACGGTCTCTAGAGCCCACGTGCCGCAACTATTGAAGCCCGCGTGCCTAGAGCCCGTGCTCTGCAACAAGAGAAGCTCACCGCAGTGAGAAGTCCACGCACCGCAACGAAGAGTAGCCCCCGCTCAATGCAACTAGAGAAAAGCCCGCGCACTGTAACAAAGACCAACGCAGCCAAAAATAAAATTAAAAAGAATTAAAAAAAATAAAAAGGTACTGGGCCCCTGAGCTGGTCGGCGTCTGCATGTCTCTGTGAGCTCACATCTGTGTCTGGGGCCGGGCTGCTCCCGCCCTCTCCTGAGCACAGGGACCCTCACCTACCGCCCCCCAGCTGCCCTCTTCGGGGTGCAGGCAGCTAGCCGAGGCGCTGTGCCTGCTGTCACCGCAGACGCGAGGTGGTGGACACCAGCAAGCACAGCAGCCTGTCCTTCCTCTCCCACAGCCTCCAGACGCCCCTTAAAGCCACCCCAGGACGTCTCTCAAAGCCTTTGCGCTCCTGGGCTTACTTAGTTCAGGCTGTGGATTATTGCCTCCTCTCCCCGCTGGCTTCCTGCGCAGTTCCCACCCTTCCAAGCCTGAGGGACCTTCCTGAGACACAAGGGCAACAAGTTACCCCCGTCTCTGAAGGCTTGAGAGGCTCCCGGCGCCCACGGGGGTCCTAGCTGGCACCCCCCAGCCCTCCGCGCGGTTTTGCAGACGCCTCCTGCTCTCCTTGGCACCTGCAGTATATCCTTCGCGCAGGATGGTGGACCTCGTGTGTGTCTGACTCCTAGGCTTGGCTCTCCCTAGAAGCCTCCCCTCCCTCCATTAAAATGCTACGCTTATTTCTAAAACCAGCTCAAAAACCTATGTCTCACTACCGCTTTTCCAGTTTTCACCCTTAGGGTAATGTGTGTTCGTAAGACGCGCGTGCACGGGTTGAATGTTTTTTAAGTGGCAAGAGCCGAGCCCGTTCCCACGCTGGGACGGAGGGAGGTTTCGCCGCTGGTGAGACGGAGCACAGCTGGAGGAGTCCCGAGGGAGAGGGGACGGAGGAAGGAGACTGAGGAGGGGGGTCGGAGCGTAGGGGGCTGGAGAGGCTCGTGCAGGGAGAGCAGACGGCACCGCCCCCCAGGGCCAGAAGCAGCTACGGTGTGTGCACACTTGCCGCGCGCCCAGGCTCTGCAGGGTTTCAAGGGCGTGATCGCACGTGATGCGCAGAACCGCCGTCTGGGGCCTCCGTCGCTCCACCTTCCAGAGGAGCAACCGGAAGCTCACGACGGCGGACTCTTCGCTCGGGACCACCCGGCAGAGGGGCGGAGGGGCGGAGGGGCGGCGGAGCGGCGGGAAAGTCCCCAAACGGCTGGCGCGCACTGGACCTGCGCACGCGCGCTGGGGCTCGCTTTGCCCCTGTGACCCAGAATTCCACGGCCTCGGAAGAGACCATGGGCTCTGCAGGAGGGGGGAGTCCGGGGGCGGCGCCTGCACCATTAAACGGGCTGGAAGTTCCGTTGAGTCTTTTGCCATAATCCCCCTCCCTTCTGTGAGGGGTGGAATGTTCCGACTGCTTAAGAGGCTGGGACGGCTGTTGTTGGGCCTTTCCAGCGTAGGTGTCGGGCGGCTGGTGGTGAGTTCGTCTAGGCCAGTCCGCGGGCAGCAAAGGCGAGAGAGCCAGAGCTTTTCTTTTTCTTTTTTTTTTGCGGTACGCGGGCCTCTCACCGCTGTGGCCTCTCCCGTTGCGGAGCACAGGCTCCGGACGCACAGGCTCAGCGGCCATGGCTCACGGGCCCAGCCGCTCCGCGGCATGTGGGATCTTCCCGGACCGGGGCACGAACCCGCGTCCCCCGCATCGGCAGGCGGACTCTCAACCACTGCGCCACCAGGGAAGCCCCAGAACTTTTCTGATTTTTCGAACGATGTCCTCGGGGAGCCTAACTGGAGGGCGGCGGGCGGCTGCGTCCACGCGGGCCTCAGGGCGGGCGCCGTGGCCTTGTGTCCGAGTTTGGGGACCGAGGCCCGAGGACCGCGTGCGTCTTCGTCCGGCCGGGCAGCCGCCGTCTCGGGACCCCTGACCCCGGGCTCGCCGCCGGGAGTGAGCACCCCCCGAGAGAACTAGGTAAGCGGGGCTGCCTGCACCCTAGGGCGCGGAGCGACGTTCGTAGTGAGGCCGCAAGGGAGGCTTGTTCGGCTATCCTGATGATTCCGTAGCAAGTGCCCTCAGACGCGAGGACTGACGATTTCTAAGCCCATCCGACCGCAGTCGCTGACACCTGATGCTTTACGTTACTGTAGCTGCCCGAGTCTGCCCTAATGCACGCCCTAATCTTTGTTTCAGAGGGTAGACACACTCGCTTTTGGAGACGGGAGCAGCATCCCAACCCGAGGTTAAGAGCCAGTCTGGGTAAGGATTAATACGTATTGTAACTTAGCCGTGTCGGTCTTGCAACCTTAAATGCACTGATAACTGCCTGGTGTCTTATCCCTGTTGTCGCTTTCATGCATTTGACGTAATTATGCGCTGCCTCGTTGCATAACTGCAACGGTTAGGAGGTTGCGGCCCCTAGTTATGTCTAAGCCGCATCTGTATTGAGAAACGGATGCCTTACGGCGGTTTTAGCCGAAGCCCAGGTCTCTGGGGGCGGTACTGTGGTGAGATGCTTGGCTGCTCTGATGAAATCACTAATAGGAAGTGCCGTCAGAAGCGATAACTGACGAAACCAGTTCCTGGCTGACTGCAGTCACGCGTCCTCACCAGTAGCTGGTGCCCAGGAGTAAGTTGGGCTGGACTGTGACCCATAATCTGTCTTCACCCAGGTTGCAAGCTAGTGAAGGGTGGCCAGCGCGTGATCACCGTATGGGAGCCCGAGCATCGGCCTGCTCCGAGGTAAGCTAGCTTTGGGCTCTGGAGAAGTTCGTGGTTGAGGAGGCCTAGCTGTTGATTCATGTGAAGTTTCTGCTGGACCGGATACAGGTCCGGCTGACCTAATACTTTGTGGTGGTGCAGCCCTTGAGCATTATTGAGAAAATATCTGAGAATGATTTCGGTTCGTGATGTCTGGACCAGACGGCAGAGTGAGCCCAGGAGTTCCTTTTGATGTCGTGGCTGTACAGTCCTGAGCAAACTGCTTATCTGCTCTGAGATGGACAGCCTTGGGTCTGTTTGCGATAACGTGACTTGAACGGAGGTTAAGACGATGGGAACTGCCTCCAGTTCCTTTTGGCATCTGCTGTCTGTCCGTGGGTGCCTCATTCATCCCGCCAAGCTTTGAGCACCGAAGAGTGGGATCTGCACAGCAGAGTTCTAAAGCGGGCGGCAGTGGCAGCAGTACCCCAGCCCAAGAAGATGTAAGGTCTGGTCTACACAATGACCACCCCCACGGTAGAATGGATAAGCAGCTAGTTTTGTTGAAATGGATTTGCAGAAAAGGATATCAAATGATGAAATCACCTAAAAAAGCTGGAATTACCGGCAGATTGTGTGGTGGTGAACCTACGGTTTTCTGAAGATATCTTTTAGGCTGTGAATGACTGTTCTTAGAGTATAAAGTAAGATTAACTGATACTTAATTTCCTTGCAGGCTGTGCTGCGGCAGGGGCAGAATTTGAAGTCCAAAGGAACAAGGGCAGCCATCAGCTTGGGCCCTGAAAACCTGGGCCTCCCGCATTTGGTGTAGAAACACCTTGTGCTCAGTATCAGAGGGACATTCTTACCAATGAGAGCCAAGAAATGGACTTTCTGGGACCGCGTGGACTGGCATTTCTGGTGTCACTAAGTTCATGAGGTTTCTTGTATCGTCCCTTAACCAAAAGGAGCTTTTGTACTTTTAAATATTGTATAAGTGTGTTCTTGGGTGAGCGCCTGAGGTTTTTGAACTGGAAACTTCCTGAAATTTGTATCTCCATGCAGTTAACCATCAACAATGTAATAAAAGTATGGTCTTTGGTATTGGTTCTTACAAATGTGTATTTGAAGAAAAAGTCCAGTTTGATCACTGCTGACAAATATTAGCGGTCCAGGTATTAGTACTTGTCACCTTCCCTTTAGGTAGGTCTAAGCTGTTCTTCCCTCTTGAGACTTGGGGCAAAAATCGCAAAGCATTTAAGGCATCTGTAACATGTGAGTCCAGTCCCTGCCCCTCTGGGCTCTGTCTGCCCTTTTGCATAGCCTCCCTGTAGCTCCTGAAGCCCTACCCCACACCTGCCCAGACAGCAGCAGGCAAGGTCCCACTGTCTGGCTCTTCACCCACCCCCATCTTGCCACCTTCCGACGTACCTGGCCTGAGGCTGGAGGCATGTCAGGCTGTGCTTCCCTAGCCCTCTGCTGTTTGCCCGAGGGGCTCTGTCTGGTTCACCAACACTGGGCACCCAGAATGATTTTCTCTAGCTCAAGAATGATTGGTTCCCAATCTCCCTGGACTTGCTAATTGTGCCTGAAAGGGATGACTTTTTAACCCGTAGGCCTTGGGTAAGGGGAAGGTAGGGTGAAAACCTTGGCTTTCTCCCCTTGGGAACCTCCGGTTTATTTTTTTCCCCTTCTCCCAGTTGTCTTGCTTTGTGGTCCTGGGTTTTCGGGAATGTGCTCAAAGTAGCAAGGATTACTTTGGGGACTCCATGGGGAGGGATTTTATGGGAAAAGGGTCCTTATGAAAGGAAGCAAGGCTCACTCTGGCCTGTACCCTAGGAACACCGACGCATGTGGAGTTCCACTAGGTGGAGATGCTGTGCGGTTTCTGAGTGGCATGCACTGTGCCCCAGACTTCTAGGATGTCCTAATATTGAAGGGTATGGGGGTGGCTGGTCCCGTGGCCTCTGAGGTTGGGCTGAAGGGTGAGCCTTGAAAATGGAGGCTGAGGCCGGGAAGTTGCTCCCAAGGAGCCTGGGCGCCACAAGGAAGAGGCAGACCCCCCTCAGTCCAGATGGGGATGAGGCTCCTGGGGTCTCCAGCAGCCAGTCCCCACCCCAACCGTCAGCCAGGAGCTGAGATTCCGACCTGCCTTGATCAGGGGCACATCCAGCATCTGGATATCTAATTCAGGACTGGAAAATCCCGGGTTAGATGCAGAGCCCCCACTACACTTCCTTTTCTGGGGGGGAAAGCTCTGACCGCTCACATCAACTCAAGCCTCCAGCATCCCCAGCCCCTACACGGCACCCACAAGTTGGGAAGCTGAGGGTTGGTTCCTCTTGAGCCAGGGATGACTGCTGAGGAGCCAAAAGGCAGATGTGGATTGACGAGGGGGTGATGGAGAGGACCAGAGAGGAATTACAGTCCTTTCCTAGATGCTACCATCTGGCTTCCTGGGTCGGGGGGAGGTGCTGCCAGGCCCATTCTGGATGGTGGCCCGCTACCCCGCTGGGAACGCCCGCCCTGCCTCAGCCATCCTACCCCAGCAGGACTCCCTGGAGAGGCCCCCACCTCCCTGTCACGTCTGAGATGCACCTGTAGTCTCCCTGGCCTCCTGGTCCCCTCCAGGGTCCTCCTGGCCCACAGTCTCGTCCCGGGCCTCGTCCCCACTGCCCGGGCCCTCGCCCAGCTCCAGGATGGTGGGCAGGTGACCCTGCTTGGGGGAGCGCTTGCGCAGGCTGAGCAGGAAGGGCTGGGGCAGTGAAAAGATGTCCACGTTGTTGCCCAGGTCGATCCACGTGACGCTGGGGAACTTACTGGGGTCCTTCAGGGCGTCGGTGAGGTCGCGCAGCAGGGCCCGCGTCAGCCGGTTGCCGTTGAGGGCCAGTGTGGTCAGCCGGGGCAGCGTGCTCAGTGCGGGCAGCAGCTGTAGGGCCATGTCGTCCGTGAGGCCCGTGAAGCCCAGCTCCACGCTATCCACCTGCTCCCCGCAGCGCTGCAGGTAGCCGGTCACCCGCTCCAGGTCACGGGGGGTCAGCGGGATGCCAGACAGGTCCACCGTGTTGTCCGGAGGGCTCCCGGCCAGGACTGCCTTGAGGCTGAAGGGGAGACGAGACAGCAGGGTTCAAGCGGGTGGGGCAGGCTTTTCTCCGGAGGCAGCCTCCGCTCAGCCCTCTGCCCGCGGGGCAGAGACCAGGGGCCCCGGTCCCCTTGCACTGCCCACATCTCAGCCTGGCTGCCCAGCGGGCAGAGCCTGGGGATCACAGGGCAAGGCCCAAGTGTTTCTGCAGTGACTAAGGGGACATTCTGGGGCCAACGCCGGGGTCTGCACTGGACTCCTTCCTTCCTTCCTTTTTTTTTTTTTTTTTATTTTTTATTTTGGCTGCACCGGGTCTTAGTTGCGGCACGCAGGATCTTTAGTTGCGGCAGGCGGGCTTCGTCCCTCATGCGACCTTTAGTTAGTTCCTTAACCTCTGCGCCTCTGTTATTTGCCTGAGAAATGAAGCCAACTGGGTACCACAGGGTTGTCATGTGAAATAATAAACGCAGTCAGAACGGCGCCCTGTGCAGGAGGGCGGCGAACGGCTGAGCTCCCTGCTCCCCCACGAGTGCCACAGATCTCGGAAGCCCCTGCTTCAAGACCATCTTCTCCACCAGACAGAGGGTCCTTGGGGGGCCCTCGGGACGGCAGGCGGGTGAGGGCGCAGGGGCCCGAGCCTGGTGTGGGCTGCTGTCCACCCCCTTCCACTCCCTACCGCCCGCCACCCCTTGCTCTTTTTTCTCACCCGCTCCCTTGCTCGGGGGCCCAGATCTCCCAGCTTCCAGATACCCCAGGCGAGCCCCGAGGCTCCAACCCTGGGAAGGACAGGGAGTTAGAGGGGGCGCAGCACCTGTTACCATCAGCAGCCCTGGGATCACAGCTTGGGCTTCCTTGTCGGCCTCTTAGGAGAAAAAACAGGCCAAGGGAAGAGCTCGGTAAGAGTCCCAGCGCAGGGAACACAAGTGCAAAGGCCCTGAGGCTGGTAGAGCTCAGCGTGTCTGTGAACCAGCAGGAAGGCCAGTGTGTGGGCGGGGGCGGGCGGGGGACCATCACTTGGGCCTGAGTGGGTTTCAGTCAGCGGGACGGGGAGGCGTCCGAGCAGAGTAAGGCTTCGGAACGAAGAATGGACTGAGCGCCCTGTGTGCCGGGGAGACAGGAGGCCCCTGGGTCCCAGCAGAGCGTACCCTCCTGCATTTCCCTCCTCCAGAACTAGCGCACAAGCAGACAGAACTGCCCTGTCCCTGCATTTGGTCCCTGCCCTCAGCCCACCTGGCACCCCCTTTGGTGACTTCCTCCACCAGGGAAGGGCCCTTGAGGATCCATCTCCTCTCCTGCCCTGGGGGGCGGGGGGTGGTGTCCAGGAGAAGGGAAGGGGGCCCAGAGCTCTTCTGCTCAGCGAGGAGGCTGGCCTTCCCCTGCCGTCTGTGGGGCCTGGAGGAGCCTGCGCGCCAGCAGGGCCCTGCCAGAGCCTCGGGACCCCAGCCGCTCCGCTCTGTGATTTGCAGCAGTTCCCCTCTGCTTCTTTCTGCGGTGCTGTTCTGGCTCCCAGGTCCTGTGTCCCAGTGTCCCCTCTGCCCCCAGGGTGCAGGAGGCCACACGAGCCCTGAGGGTCCTCACTGCTGTACGCCAGGGACAAGGCTGGGGTCTGGGTCCCCCTGGGAGACATCAGGAGGGCTGGGGGGAGGGAGGTGGTGGGGCGGGTGCCCGCATTCAGGGCACCAGGATCAGAAACCCCTCTTGTCCCCCTCCCCCAGCATCAGAACGGGCGCGCACCCCCAGATCCCACCACACAGAGCGGGGCCCAGCCGCCAGCATCTCCCAGGGCTCCTGCCCATCTGGAATGCCCACCCTGCCTGCCACTTTCCCCCGGCCCCCAGCCCTTCACTTCACCTTCTCCAAGCAGCTCTTGCCCTCCCCCCACGCCCCGGGACGGAGTGCTGTTCCCCAACAACTGGCCCAGCACAGCTGGCTTTGAGCTGCCCTTGTAGGAGGCGGCTGGGTGGCGGTGGAGGAGACCCGCCTCGGGTGACCGCGACTCACCAGGCCTGTGGCTTCCTCTTCACCAGCCCGCGGCGGCGCCTCCACTGGGAATGGGGGCTGAGGTGGTAGGTCAGCTGCCGGCACAGCTTCTCCATGGCGCCCAGCGCGTCGCCCTCCTGCAGAGGAAGCCACAGGTCCCTGAGTGGATGGAGCAGGCAGGGAGCCCAGGCCCCCACCTCCAGCTTCCTGCCTCTGTGGGACCAGCATGGACCCCAGGCTGAGCTGGGGAGGCCTGCTGTGCAGGCCCAAGGTGGCCGCCCTGAACAGGGAGCAGGGGTTGCAAACTCATCTGCACGATGGTTTTAGTTTCTGTGAATTCGTTGCTATCACTGAAAAACCTGAGATTTCTATAGACATCTGGATTCCAGGTGATCTGACAGTTGACCCCTTAGCCAGGGTCGCCACAGTCCCTGCCGCTCCCCGATGCCCAGGGCCACCTTATCATGCTCACTCGCTCGCCTGACAGATACCCGCTGGGTACCTCCTAGGTGCCGGGCACTTGCTCTAGAAGCTGGGGATTCAACCACAAGCAAACGTCCTTGCTCGCGTATTCCACTCAGCAAAGGGGACGGTGAAATACTTTACCACATCTCTTCTGCCCACGTCAACGGTGGGAAAATAAAAGAATGAGGCGCCAAGTGGTTCCGGCCCAGTTCATTCATCTTCGTTACCTGTCTGGCCCATCAGCATCTGACCTTGAGACCCTGGGTATTATGGCCTGAATTGTGTCCCTCCGCCAAGTTCTTAAATTGAAGTCCTAATCCCCAATACCTCAGAATGTGGCTGTCTTTGGAAATTGGGCCGCTAAAGAGTAATGAAGGTAAAATGAGATCACTGCGGGGGGCCCTAATCCTATGCGACTGGTGTCCTCATGAGACGAGATCAGGACACAGACATGTACAGAGGGGAGACCATATGAGCACACAGGGAGAAGACGGCCGTCTACACGCCAAGGAGAGACGCCTCGGAAGAAACCAACCCTGCTGACGCCTTGATCTCGGACTTCCAGCCTCCAGAACTGTGAGGAGATACATTTCTGTTGTTTAAGTGGTAGTTTTGTCGGCAGCCCCAGCAAACAAATACGCTGGGTTAAAGGGTGCAGCAGAGAGATTTCAGAGGCTCCAACTCTGTCTCAAGGGGAGTCGATTAAACGAAGAGTCCCCGACGCCTGGGAGACTGAGTGGCCCAGAGCGTGTGCTCCCACCAGATGGTCCAGTGCCAAGGGCCAAGGCCAGGAAGTACCAGGCAGGATGCAAACCCCCTTGCAGACAGCAACGCGATGTGGTGAGGGGGCCAGTGCCCAGCAGGGCGCCTGGCACAGAGTGGCTGCCCAGTAAAGGCTGGCTTGATTATTACCATTATCATCATCACGCTGTTAGTGCTGTCCCCCCCACCTCTCATCTGCTGTTTGGCCCTCCAAGGTTTCAGGTTACCTGTGGTCAACCTCGGTCCGAAAATATTAAGTGGAAACTTCCAGAAATAAACTCAGACGTGTACAATTGTGCGTCATTCTGAGCAGCGTGATGAAGTTGCCTGCTGTCCTGCTCCTTCCCGCCTGGGACATAAATCATCCCTTTGTACAGCGCATTATCGCTGTGTATGTTACCTGCCCTTTAGTATAGGAGAAACAGTGTTCTTAGGGTTTGGTGCTCTCTGCGGTTTCAGACATCCCATGAAGGTCTTGGAACGTATCCCAAGGGTCACGGTGCCGGCCGGGGTGAAGGCCAACTTTGGAGGCCAAAGGGAGAAGGGGAGGGGCTGGCACACCTCGAGCTGAGGGTCTGCACCCAGGACCCCTGCATGCTGGAATCACCCAGAGCTTTAGACAACACTGCTGCCTGGGCCACCCTGCAGCGATGGGTGGGCAGCTCGGGCACGGGGACTTTTAAAAGCTCCCCCGGTGATTCCCCTGTGCTGCCAGGCGGACACACTTGAAAGACAAGAAGGACCAGCGGGTGGGGTGTGGTGGTCTGCCCGGCATCACCCCTGCGACCACCCGGGACAGAACGTGGTCAGTCTCCCACAGCACCCGTTCCAAAGCCGAAGAATGAGCTCCTGGCCCTAAACCTAACCTCCCGCAGGGCTTCCAAAATCGGGGGCCACGTACTCTCCCTCCGCCCTCCAGGCCCGGAAGGAAGAAACAGGAAAAGAGGCGGCAAAGCAGCCGCCGCAGTGCGCCGACACTACCACCAGGGGGCAGCCGCGCGCAGGGCGAGGCCCCCAACCTGAGCCTGTTTCCTCATCTACTAAACAGGGACAGAAGATGTGGTCACTTAACAGCGGACCTGAGACCAAACGTGAGCCAATGTCCTCGGAAGTGAGAGCCCCTCCGCTTGTCTGGACTAAAGAAACACAGCTAACCTTTACCGAGTTATATTACCTACTATACGCTGGGCACTAACTCATAGCCATCCCATGAAACAGGGGCCCCTACAATCCCGCTTGACAAATGCGGGAACCGAGGCACCAAGAAGTGGAGGGGGTGGCAGGCCACTCGACGTGTAGGATGGCGTCAGGATCCAAACCCCGCAGCCGCTCTGAGCCTGGGCTCTGCTCTGCCCTTGAGGGATGAGTCTTTTGCAAAGGTTGGTTCAAGTAGCTTCTATCGTTTGCAAACCAGAAAAGCCTCAAGCAAGCCCACCTACGTTTTCCCAACCCCATCACTGTCGGAAGCCCCCTCCAGGCCTCCTCCTGCAGGAAGAGGACTAAGCAGGAGTCGCCCAGCGTGGAGGACGAGGAAGGAAGGGGAGGAAGGAGGCGAAGGAGGAGGATGCTGGCCCCTCTCCTCTTATTCGGAAAGCCGCGGGGCCCAGCAGCGCTTTTGTGGGACCACACCCCACTCCCAAGCCACAGCTGACCGGTCCAGAGGCGGACCCTGGGGGAGTCCCGACTTGGGACAAGACTCTTCGGGGGCTGAACACTGACAAGTCAACTCAGGAGCCCCGGGCAGCCATGAGGTGTGGGTACGGGGGGCAGGGAGTGAGGCTGGGTGGAGCAGAGGGAGGGGGGCACGTGTCTGTGCTGTTTGGGGTTCTAGTGCCTCTTTCAAGCTTGGCTGCCACCGGGAAGGATAAGTCCTCTTCCTGGCTCGAGGCAGGCCGCGGAGGCTTCTGTTGCTTGCAACAGAGAAGGCTGCAAGGCAGGCCGCGGAATCTACAGCTTTCCCTCCCACCCGTGGAGAAGAAAGGAGGGGGAGGGGCTGTGGCGCAAGTCGGGTACACTGGGCACCGGCCCAGCGCCGCTGACCGCGGGCCTCGGAGAAGACCCTGCCTGAGGGACTCACTGACCCATTGGGAGAGAGGCCCGCGGCAGACCTGCAGGGCCCTCTGGGCCGGGTCACCGTGTCCCTCCGACTCCCCTGCCGTCTTCAACCCCCCACCCCAAGAAGTGTAGCAAGCACAGCCCCGACCGCTCTGCACCCACGGCTTCCTCACTCAGTCATCAGACATGACTGCCCTGTCTACTGCACCTGGACGCCGCTCCAGATCCGGAGACTGTGCTGCGTTGTTTGTTCACTCCCCACCCCGCTCTCTGTGCTGGGAAGGCTGAGCTCTCACAGGCGGCACCACCCGGCCCTCCTGCTCCTGGCTGTCAGTGCGACTCAGCTAACGGGAGGGAGGTCAGAGGGCAGGAGAGAAAGGCCCAGGATTAACTCTTCTCACTCTCGCCCTGCTTTAGCCAGCCTCCAAGTCGGCCCCCACGGACGCTGGCCTCCTGGCAGGGTACAGCCTCCTTCCACACTGCGTTAGGGCTGACTGGGTGATCAATACGCTACGGCAGCAGGGACAGTATGCGACGTCTGAGGCTGGCTCATAGGAGACACTGTGCTTCTCCCTTGCTCTCGGGGATCACCCCCTCTGGGGCGAGCCAGCTGCCCTGATGTGAGGAAGCTCAAGCAGTCCTGTGGACCCGCCACGGGGCTCGGAGCTAAGGCTTCCCACCAGCAGCCATGCTACCCTGCCAGTCCCCGTCGAGCCACCAGGACTCGCAGCCTGGGCCAGTGTCCTGAGCCCCTGACTAGAACCGCCCGCCTGTGCTGCTCCTGAATTCCTGACCTGCAGAGGTGGATCAATGGTGAATGTCTGTTGTTTTAAGCCACCATGCTTTGGGGTGACTTGCTATGCAGCAATAGAAAATACAGTAAAATATAAAAGAAGAAAAAACACACAAGGTGGCTCTGGGAGAGCTCCTCAACAAATCACTGAGCATACACCCTCATTTTAGTGTCTGCTGGTGGGAAGCCTGACGGTGGACACGATGGAACAGACGTGCTGGGTGGGAAGGAAGGAGTCCCTAAAACTTCCCGCGACATGATCCGCGCTGACAGGGGGATTTGTTCTGGGTGATTTAGGGACACCTAGGCGGAAATGTCCAGGAGTGGGGAGACTTTTGAGTCTAAAGCCAGGCTGCAGATACAGACTTGGGATTCATCAATACGCAGTCAGGGGCGGGATGGGGTTTTGCTTCTTCCCCCTTCTGCGGGCAGGCACAGACCCAGCCCTGTCTAGGGTCTCGGCCCACACCCTGCTGGGGTAGAGGAGGGGGTTTCTGGTAGGTTGAGAAAACAGACAGGACTCATTCGAGGCGGTCGTCTTAGCAGTGGGAAGGATTCTGTGTCTTGTGGATGCTTCCCCAGGAGCTGGACCAGAAATGGCTACTTTCTTCGTCCCCTCTCACAGCTAAGGGAGACCCCGCCCCCCGCCTTTTGTCTACAACCTCCCGGCACACACTTGGGCTGATCTGAAATTCTCAGATGAAAGAGGTCCGAGCAGCAAGGCCTGGCTAGCCCTGAGCCAGCTCACATGGGTGTGCGTGTGTGTGTGTGTGTGTGTGTGTGCAGAGGCCGCCCCCATCATCAGCTTGGGGACCTCAGAGCCAGGATCTCCCACCCATGCCTCAACCCCAGCTGGGAGAGTCCTTCCAGAGGGCCTCTCCTGCCACGTGGCCTTGGGTACGCGGAGGGGACTGGCCAGGCCCTAGGCCTCCAGCGGGGTGGACCCCACTCTGGCTGCCTCTGGAAATCTGGGTTGGCGATCAGCCTGTTGATTTCCAAGACTCTGAGTCCACAGGGGCTGGGCCTGAGGCCGCGACATTCTTGCTTCTGTGTCCCACAACTGACCTGCTAAGTCTGAGCACCCTGCCTGGCACGTGGTCAGCGCCCACAGACTGGTTACACCTCAGCTCCTGGGCACGAGGCTCTCGGCCGTGCCGGGCACACGCCCATGCTTCCTGTAAATCACCTCACTGAGCACTGGAGACAGCTTTACAGGGGAGGGCATGGCTGTGTCCACATTCGAGTTGAGGAAAACGAAGTTCAGCTAATTAAGTGACCTGAGAAGGTTACACCTGTGCGATGGACGGAATGTTTGTCCCCCCTCCGCCCCCAGTTTATATGCTGAACCCAAATCCCAACGTGATGGTGTCTGGAGGGAGGGCCTTTGGGAGATGATTAGGATTGGATGAGGCCACGAGGGTTATCGGAAGAGACCAGAGAGCTAGCTCACCTCCTTTCTGCCACGTGAGGCCACAAGGAGAAGGTGGCCGCCTGCAAACCACAAACAGCGTCCTCCCCAGAACCTGCCCGGGCTGGCGCCCTGGTCTCAGCCTCCAGCCTCCAGAACCGTGAGAGATGAGTGTCTGTTGTTTATTAGCCACCCAGTCAGTGGTAATTGGATGTAGGATCCTGAGCAAAACCACCTATGAATGGCCTTCTAGCCCTCCCCAGTGCAGGACCCCTTGGCCTCAGCCCACAGCCCCTTAGCCCTGCCCTGCTTCCTGGGGTCGACATGGGCAGTTGGCCACCTGCAGACCCGCCTGCGTGGAGGGAGGGGGGCACTGGAACTGCCCCCAAACAGGCCCCTCCTCCCCAGCCCAGCCCGGGCCTTGTGAGCCCCACGGAGCACTGATGGCCCAGAGATCCAGCACCTGAGCGCTGGCCTGCCCTGCCCAGCAGTGGGGCCCAAATGCTGGGGTTCTCACCTGGGCCGTAACCTTTCTCAGATCGCTTCATCACCTGTATTTCGTCTTCCTCAACTCTAAGATGGGCATAAAAAACAGTCCTCTCCTATTGAGCTGCTCTGAGTGCCCTGTCATCTGTCACTCCTCTCACCTGTGGGCAACTAAATCCATGCTCTGGAAAGGGCAGGGATCTGGCACCCACAAGGCCTCCTACGGCCTGGTCTCAGCTCCCCAGGAGAGCCAGGTATACCCTGAATGAGAAGCGGGCGGTTCCAGCTGCAGCCGGTCCCCTGTGGCTCCTGCACCAGCTTCTCGACCCCAGGCCTCGGGGCTCCCAGTCTGCCGACACTCATTACCGTCACACGTCTGAGCCCAGCACCCCTGCCTCTTGCTGTATCCCTCCACCAACCCACCCCACACCTGCCCCGACGGGCTCCCAGCCTTCCATGGCCAGCCCCCCACCTTGAAGTCTTGACACCAGGCAGTCCAGAGAGAAGCCAGAGAGAAGGCCCTAGACAAAGCCCCAGATGGAGGTACCACCCCAGAGCAAGGTTCCAGCCCTGGGCGCCCGGGCCAGGTGCGGCGTGGGCTTGGGAACCGCCTCTCGCCCTGATCCTAGGTCCTGCTGTGAAGTGGAGGCCGCCCCAGGCACTCCTCCATCCTGCTCTGGCTTCCTGCCCCTTCCTTCCTGCTGCAAGGAAGTGCATCTCTTGGAAGCTGCTGGAAATTGAGGGATGGGAGAGAAGAAACCAAAACAGAGAGAAAAGCCCAAGTGTGGAGCTGCCCTGCCCTGGCCCTTCTGTCCCTGCCTGGGTCCCAGCCTGGACTGTGGAGCCAGAGGGAAGAGGGGCAGATCCCCCAGACCCAGAGGGGCTGGGCAGCGCCCGTGGAGCCTGGAGAGCCTCGGAGCCAGGCAGGAAGTGGACAGGAGTGAAGTGGGTGGGTATAAAATGACACTTGGCCTCAGAGAGGAGGACACGTGGGCGTAGCGGGAACTGCAGCAAACAGAGCGGCATGTAGGGCCACGGCTACATTTGCTTACACAGCGCCTTTGTGCAAAGAAGACAAAGCCCATCTCTAGGTGGACACAGTCTTGCACCCGTGCCCCCGGCTGGTGGGCAGAGAGAGGGCTGGACCAAGCTGTCTCCTGTCTCCCCGACCCCTGCCACCTCTGTGTACACATCTTTGTGCAGGGTACAGCCTACACAACCGTACCTGGCGGCTCTGACCCCATGTAACAGGGGTGGCTACTCAGCTCCAGGCCTGTAGAAATGAGGAGCTTCCCATTTTTCAAGAGCAGCTAATATGGGGATTGTGTGAAATACTCTGAGGTTTACATGTTGGCAATGAATCCAGATTTACTGCAGCCCATGGGCCAAACGAGGCCAGCGCTGATGGTGCTGGTACGCAGCCTCCGCCGTGAATGCTGGGCCTCAGGGCAGGGTGACCTGCCCGCCTCGGGCACCGGGCTGCTCCGCCCAGGAAGCTCCCCCCTTACACCCTGGCGCTCGCTGGCTCAGACCACGGCCACCCTACCGGCTTGGGACAGTGGATGTAGCGTGCCAGGCTGATGATGAGGTCGTGTGTGATGGGGTCCACCAGGTTCCTGAAGCTGGCGTAGCGGTACAGGACGTCGTCCAGCGAGGTCGACTCCATGCCTAGGTCCTGCAAGAGGGAAGGATGCCCAGAGGTCAGCAAGGCCCCACCTTACCCTGGAGCCCCGCCCAACATGCCCAGAGTACCCCCTGGCCAGGGAGGAGACCCCTCCAAAGAGGTTTCCCATCCCACACGGAAGCATTTACAGAAATTCGCCCGGGGGCCAGACAAGCCCCTGCAGAGGCGGCCCTCCCCAGATAGCCCCCCAGCCTTTGCCTCTCCAGTTCCCCCGAGGATGAAGCCAAGGGTTGTGGGCCACAGCGCTGGTGGCTGCTTCTCCACGAAATTTGGAAACGGCGTGATAGTAAAACTCCCGTGCTTTGTGACAGGACCACGTACTGAACTGATATTTATTTGCTTTCTTTTTGCTTCTGAGGTCATTTTTATTGCTCCTTCTGTTAAGGACCCCGCCTTGGTGTTCCTTTGTCTTGGGGGGCTGGGTCTCTGAGTTGTGGGGTTAAAAGGAGAAGCTGCTAGGCACCCAGAAGAAAACCCACCAGCCCTCCCCCTAAGAAAGGGTGTCAAGTGCAGTCCTCGTAACAGGAGGGGCGGGAGCACAGAGGCAAGGGGCACGGGGTGGGCGGGGGCCATGGCAGAGACCTCTGGGGCAGAGGTTCCCCAAGCCTGGGGAGAGGCAAGGGCTGGGAGCATCTGCAGAGACCCCTGTCCACCAGCAAGAGACCCCACGGGCTTGGCCAAGAGCAGTGACCTGTCTGGGTCCTAATCCCCGGGGCCTCGCTCCAAATGTTCTGGACTGTACAAGACCCGAAGATCCTCGTCCAACCCCAGGAAAGGGGCAGGCCCCCCAGACACGGCTAAGCTTGAATTTCCCACCAGCCAAGCTGGCGGGGGCTTGAAACAGAATTAATTGCTTTAGAGAAGTAAAGAAAGATGGTTTTCTAGCCCAGGGTGTTGTACTACACTTTGTGCCCTCTGTCTGTGGAAGAGCTCGGGTATGGCTTCTGACGCTTCTCAAACCCCCTCTCCAGTTTCTGTTGTCCTTGGCGGGAGCTGTGGTTCCCTCCTAGCTTGGTCCCTTGCACAGAGCAGAAAAGAACGAGGACATTCCCATCTGAGGACTGCCCCACCCTAGGTCCCCTGGGCCCCCAAGCCGTATGCGGAGCTGCCCCATCACCACCCAGAGAAGGCAGGCTCCCAGCCCGGGTTGCCATGGTCCAGCGACCTGCGGACAGGAATGTGTGGTGACAGGTGAGTCCCAGCCGGGGTTTGCTCCCTTGTCATTTCGGTGAGTTATCCTGAACTTTTCTAAATACCTTCCCCATGTGATTCTTAGAAATCCCCGAAAGCAAGTGGGCTGGGTTTCGTTATTCCCAATTTACAGATGAAGAAGCTAAGGCTCAGAGCAGCTGACTTTGTTTTTAACCAACCGTCAGAATTTCAGGAATGGAATGTACGACTGCTGACTATAGTTAGCACAGCTGTGTGGTATATTTGAGAGTTGTGAGGAGAGTAGATTCTAAAAATTCTCATCACAAGGAAGAAAACATGTTTTCAAACTATATGAGGTGATGAATGTTAACTAAACTTATTGTGGTAATTATTTTGCAATATTTGTAAGTCAAGTAATTATGCTATACACCTTAACCTCAGTGCCAAGTCAATTATATCTCAGTAACACAGAAAGAAAAATAAATTGCATGTAATAAAGATGTTAAAGAAAAAAAAAAGAATTTCAGGAATGGTAGGGGCGGGCTTCCACGTGGGCCTAGGGCCTGTCTTGGGAGGATCTGCCTTGTCCACCCCTGGGGTGAGCTGGGCAGCAAGCAGGCTGGAGGGCGGGGATGCTGCCCTGTGGTTTGGCCGCTGACATTTCTAAGAGCGAAGAGAGAAAGGGCTTTGCTGGGGTATCTGGAGGGGCCGTGCTCTCTGTCCCATGGGGAGCCTCGCGAGTCCAGGTCCTAGCGGGGTTCCCCCCCAATGGTTCCGGGACCTCTGCCTCCACCTCCCTGTTGGAAGAAATGGGTCTCGAGTGCCATCGAGGACACGAGGGGCCAGCCTTGGGCTGTTTCTGTTCCGCAGGAATGAGCGTCAGAGGCAGCAGCCGTGCCCGGCGCCAGGTTCTCTGGCTGCGGAGATAATTGACACGGTCTGGCGTGGACGCGGTGAGGGAGGCGTCGGATCAGGCTGCGGACAGGTCCAATCCTGCCGTGGACCTGTCCCCACCCTGCTTGTCCGGCCCCTCAGCCTCTCGGGAGGCATCCGGGGCACGCTACCTGTGTCACTGCGTCTCAGCCTCCTCGTATGTAAAATGGGGACGGTGACCCCGCGTCACAGGTGGGCGAGGAACATAAACCTAGTAACACAGGGTAACGCCTCCGCAGGGAAGAGAATCACCAGCTGAGCGCCCCTCCCCCTTCGGTGCCCCCCCCGCCCCGCCACGCCCCGCCACGTACAGAGGTTCTTAGCCTCTTTTTGGATACCAGGCCCATTTGAGAACGTGACAAAAGCCACGACCTCTCTCTCTCTCTAGAAAAGCCCGGGAGTCGGGGCAGGACAGGGAGCCTGGCGCACAGACCACACCGGCCTCACGGTCAGCAGGGCGTGCCGGGGCCGCGGGGACGCTAATTGTCACCAAGCAAAGTGCAGACTCCGGCGCTGCCCTCTGTGTGGTAGGAGAGGCTGGGAATATAGGAAGCGGAATTCAGGCTGTCAATACGTGGACGAGAGACCTCTTCCCCCCTGGGGTCCATTTCCCCATCTGTGAAATGGGCAAACGGACCACACTCGTAGTTACTGAGCCGTGTCCCAAGACCTTGGGGCTGATGATGATGGAGAGAGGCCCAAGGCTTTGGGCCCAGCTCTCCGCAGAACAGCTCTCTGGCTGCCCTTCAGGGTTTCTGTTTGTTTGTTCCTGTTTTTTAAAGTAGTTCTGTTGTCAGAGAAGTTTGAAACCCCGGGACTGGATGGCTGCTTGGGTTTCTTGGGTTCCTACCAGCCCTGCCCCGTCTTCCCACTCCCCTCCTTCCCAGGCCAGTAGAGGCCATCCCATCCTGGAAGGACCAAGAAAACCCTAGCTGCTAACCCAGGACGCTGGGGCAGGTGTGGGAAGATGTAAACTGTCCTTCCCCAGCACCCCCCCCACCCCGGCCCCCTGCCACGTCCCGCCCTGCATGTCCCCACCCTCCCTGTCAGTCTGGGCGCCCAGCCTGCTGACAGTGGGTCCCTCTCTCCATGCTGCTGCTGTTGTCTGGGGTCATGGAATTGTGGCTGGGGAGGGGGCAGAGGGTGGGAGGAAGGGAAGGGGTAGGGAGGGGGTCTCCCCAGGAAGGCAGATGTGGCTCTGCTCCTGTGCTCTGGGTAAGTTACGTGTGAGTCATGGCCACCGCCCGCCCTGTGAATTCCAGCTGGGGTGGGGCTCCCGGAGGTCCCAGGGCTCCGGGTTACATGAAGCTGCAACAGGGAGACCCAGATGGGGGCCCGACAGACGCTGCTGCACTTTTATCTATCGCTTTACTCCTTTACTTCGACCCCACCTAGGCCCCCGGAATGCTTGTGCGGCTTTCAGACACCTCACATGTCCTGAGGGCCTCGGGCCACGTCTGGCGTCCTCGGTGTCCTCTCCATATCACCCACCAAGCCACCCACATTGTCACCCACACTGGGGACAAATGTGTCATGACTGCACTGACAGTGCCACCGACCCTGCCCACCGGGGACCTCAGTGTTCCGCTCTGCCCTGGCTGCCCGTCGGGGTGGGGGAATGCGGGGGTGGAAGAACCAAATCCACGTGCGGCTCCTCCAGGCTGCCCCGGGCAACTGCTTTGGCCTTGGAGGGGCTGGCCTGCCTTGCAAAAACCAGGCACTGAGGAGACTCCTGGATTCCTCATTGCGAATCTAAATGGTACTATCTCTGGGACCTGTGCGTGTGGTCCGTCCCCGATCAGAAAACCTGGGAACACCAGCCCGAGTCACTGCTCTGGGCAGCTTGGCACGGACAGTGTCGCTGGCCTGCGACCAAGAGGGTGAACGGCAAGCACGTGTCACCTCGAAGAAGTGGGGCTCCCGTGTTACTGAAGCTTGAAGAACCAGGTTTGGGGACTCACTCCAGTGGGAAGAGTGAGGGGTACGGCTTTCCAAAAAGCGAGCAGAGATTCACAGTATTTCTCAAAGTGTGAAGGGGGTCCTCAAGACCCTTCCAGGGCCTCTGTGAGGGCCTCTTTTCCAGTGACACAGCAGCACGATGCTACATTTTCTTTGTAGACTTCAACCAGAACAACCTACTGCAAGACACCGAATGCAGAAGCAGTGCGTGTGAGAATCCAGCTGTCTTCTACTAAGCCAGCCACACACGAAAGGGAGTCACACAACTATGAAACAATGCCGCTCTTCTCACTATATTTTTTCTTTTGGAAAATATAGTTATTTTCGCAAAAATTTCTTTCACATTACAAGCTTATTAACTTTAAATGAATACATAAATAAATCTTTAAAATATTTTTGTTTTGATTTCTTATACAGCAGATAGCATTTATAAGATATGACCCACAGAGAGAAAACCTCTTTGAGGTCCTCCATAATTTAGAGTATAAAGGTTCCTCAAAAAATTAAAAACAGAACTACCATACAATCCAGCAATCCCACTTCTGGGTATATATCCAAAGGAAATGAAAACGTACTATTAAAGAGATATCTCCACTCCCATGTTCACCGCAGCGTTATTCACAACAGCCAAGACACGGCGACAACCTAAGTGCCCATCAACCTAAGACTGGATATAGCAGTTGTGGTCTATATATACAATGGAATACTATTCAGCCGCGAGAAAGAAAGAAACCCTGCCATTTGCAACAACGTGGATAGACCTTGAGGACATTATGCTCAGTGAGGTAAGTCAGAGAAAGACAAATACTGCATGATTTCACTTATATGTGGAACCTAAGAAGAACTCTGAAAAACAGAGTGGATTGGGGCTGGGGGGTAGGGGAATGGGAGACGGTGTTTAAAGGTACATACTTGCAACTAGAAGAAAAATAAGTCCTGGAAGTCTC